TTTTTTTTTTTTTTTTTTTTTATGTGAGCTCAGATTTGGAAAAGAGTGGTTTGGAAGAAACATGAGTTTAGAATTCAGAAAAGGTTAATCATCTTATTAAAAAAAAGAAAAGAGATGTGTAAATTCTTTTAACAGTGATTGTTACAAGCAAACGAAAATGTAAAATCTCCAATGTCTCCAAAGTCTAAAAAATTCTGAATTCCAGATCTGATGATTCTTCTAAATCTAAATCTAGACCTAATGAAATTCTAAATTCTAATGATTCTAAATTTCATTTGAACCTAAATCCAGATCTAATGAAATAAATGAGTCTCTCTCGAAGAAGTCGCGTGAAACTTATTGCTAGTTTGGTCGAATATATGACGATTAAAATTTTATTTAAAAAAAAGAACATTATCTAATTATTTAACAAAATTTCATCCTGCAATTAAAGGTTATTGTCTTCTTCGGATAACAGAGTGGATTGTCCTTGAGTCGACGTTGTTTCCGCGTTGTTACCTATATTTCGTAAAAGACAATTTACAATTTAAACATCTGGAAAACTTCCCTTTCGTAATTTTATGTTCATGATATAGCGATGCATTAATTACCGAGAGAAAAGCTCCTCTTCCTGCACTTCCGTATCAGATAGATCACGATGCCGATAATGACTATAATCACTTTACCACACACGATTCCGCTTATTGTTGCATAATTCGGGCCTTTTCTGCGTTCTGAATATGCTCGATAATAATTGGTATCTATAATATAGTTAATATCTTATAACGTTACTATCGTGGCTTAGCTCTTTCTCGTACTGGATTTCTCCATTAATAACAGAATTAATATTTATGACAAAATAAGAAATTATTCAAAAATGAAGGAAAAGAAATTAATGAACATTCTTTGCATAATTATTATTATCATTCCACATGATTTAATCGCTATTTTATTAATCCTATTGCAACATGTATATATACTATTAATTTATTGTATTAATACTATTGATAATACTAGTTAAGAATTTTCGAAAAATTGTTCTTTCGTACCTCTGCCGATTAGACAGGCGATCGTGTCATTACCTACATCGTTCATTCCATACTTCCCAAAACACAAGGTCTCGTTGCTGATCTCGTCTAAATAGTTGCGGTAGCACGGTGAGCTATTGGCAAACAGGTAACCAATCGTATCGTTCACCTCGTATTCGATGTTCGATCTACGAAGATAAAATCAAATTGACGAGATACATTGCAAACATCTGGCTGATCAGAAAGTTCGCCTGATTAATCGAATATTCTTGCAACGTTGACTTCCATCGTGCCGATTAGACAAAATTTAGACGAAATTTAAGTAACAGAAAGTAACAGAAAGTTTGCTGTATAGCAAACAGTTTACTAATCAATATGATACAACTCAATTTGCGATACTCACGCGTTCAGATGTTCGTCCGTGTAGTTCATCGTCACGATGCAGAATTGCTGTTTCTCGCAGTGCGTCCCGTCCCATCCGTAGAAACAGTGGCAAGTTTTGTTCTCGACGTCGCAGGTCCCACGATCGTTGCAATTATCCTTACACGCGTTCACGCAGTCGCTCGAATTATCGTTATCCTCTTTCAGGAAACCAGCGTTGCATCGACAGTCGCCGGGCGCCACGCATATTCCATTGGAGCAAATCTCGCAGTGCGGTTCGCAAACGGTTCGATTCTCCTTCACGACTGAGACGAAACCTTCGTTGCATTCGCAGACCTCAGGTTCCACGCACGTCCCGTTGTTGCAAGATTCGCAGAATGGTTGACAATGATTTTCAACGATCGTCGCGTAACCCACGTGGCAGGTACACTCGTTCGGGGACGTGCAGGTACCGTTCCCGCAGTCAAACTCGCAAACAGGTTCGCAGACGAACGTCCTCTCGTTATTTACCAACTTGTAACCATCCCTGCATCTGCAGGTGTCTGGTGCAACGCAGCTTCCATTAACGCACGGTATCGTGCATACAGGTTCGCAAACGTTCGATTCGTTCCTCGATGGAGCGTGACCTTCGTTGCAACTGCATGTCTCCGGTGCACTGCAGAATCCATTGATGCAAGGTTCATTACAAACAGGTTCGCAAATATTCGAATTGTTCTCCGATGATTGATAGCCTTGCTCGCAGGTGCATCTATTTGGACTCGTACAGTATCCGTTTGAACATCCTTGCTCGCAGATCGGTTCACAAGCGGTGGAGTTGTTTTCCAATTGTCGATATCCTGCCAGACATTCACAGTTGTTTGGCTCGCTGCAGAATCCATTGACGCAAGGTTCATTACAAACAGGTTCGCAAATATTCGAATTGTTCTCCGATGATTGATAGCCTTGCTCGCAGGTGCATCTATTTGGACTCGTACAGTATCCGTTTGAACATCCTTGTTCGCAGATCGGTTCACAAGCGGTGAAGTTGTTCTCCAATTGTCGATATCCTGTCAGACATTCGCACTTGTTCGGCTCGCTGCAGAATCCATTGACGCAAGGTTCATTACAAACAGGTTCGCAAATATTCGAATTGTTCTCCGATGATTGATAGCCTTGCTCGCAGGTGCATCTATTTGGACTCGTACAACGTCCGTTTGAACATCCTTGCTCGCAGATCGGTTCACAAGCGGTGGAGTTGTTCTCCAATTGTCGATATCCTGGCAGACATTCGCACTTGTTTGGCTCGCTGCAGAATCCATTGACACACAACTGGTCACAGATTGGTTCGCAAGCAGTGCCAAAGTCAACGTGTGACAATTTGTAGCCAGAATTGCAGCTGCATACTCCAGGAGCACTGCAGTATCCGTTGATACAAGGTTCATGGCAAATAGGCTGGCACACAGTTTCGTTTTTCTTCCGATATCCGTCGTTGCAAGAACACTCGTTAGGCGCAGAACAAGTTCCAAAGAGACATTCTTCGTCGCAGGTCGGTTCGCAGTTAAAGGGATCCTTTGGATCTGCATGATAACCGTTTGTGCAGTCACATTCGTTGGGACCGACACAGAAACCATTTACGCAAGGTCTTACACACAGTTCACAGTGATTTTTCGCCACCGGACTATAACCTGGGTAACATTTGCAGACATCCGGATCCTTGCAGTACGCGTTCACACACTCTTCGCTGCAGATAGGCTCGCAGACATTGTCATGAGTCTTTGATTTAGAGTAGCCTGGATAACAGCTACATTCCCCTGGTACATTGCAATACCCGTTCTCGCAAGTCTGCTCGCAGATAGGTTTACAGGCGGATGTGTAAGAGTAGAATCCTATAAGCTAGAAAAAGAATTTCTTTGTTACTTAAGTATATCTATATAGTCGTGGGCGATTTTCTAAGGGGCAATTCGAGAATGAGAAAGAATTCTTTGCATTCCTTCTAAATGGAAATTTTAACTTGTGCCAGACGTTGAAGTCAAACGGCTTCTTTTAGGCTTCCTCCGCGACAAAAATTGACTTTTTGAATAGTAAGAATTACGTTTCATAGAGTTGGGGCATGGTCGAAAAAAAAGTTGGGAACTACTGATCTAGACTATGTACTTGTATGTAAGAGTCTGTTTAAATTATCCAGAATTATCGACATTATCATTATTACTTAGATAATTATCAACTTAGATTTAGGATGTCGTTTTATCCTTCACGTAACTTCTCCTCGCACTTACTACAGCGTGGCTCTGGTTGAACTGATAACCCTCCATGCAAGTGCAGGTGTTAGGAGCGGTGCACTCTCCGTACGGTTCACAAGCAATTTCGCAAATTGGCTTACACTCGTAGTCGTTTATCTTTTCGTAGCCGGTGTGACAATCACAGTAATTAGGACTCGTGCACATCCCGTTCACGCATATTCTCTCGCAGACTGGCTGGCAGTCGTACACGGAGTCGCTGAACAATCCATAGCCCTCGTGACAAATGCAACGTTCCGGCGCTCCGCAATAGCCATTCTCGCAGGGTTTGCTGCAGATCGGCTCGCAATTATTTCCTGTCATTTGGTATCCTGGATTGCATGTGCAGACATTCGGTGCCGTGCAAGTGCCGAATAAGCAACCATTCTCGCACTTTGGTACGCAATTGAACGTGTCCTCCGGATCTGGCTCGTAGCCGTCGTGGCAAGTGCAAACATCCGGTTCGGTGCATTCTGAGTTTTGGCACGTGATACGGCAGATCGGCTTGCACGTCTGCGAATCATTGGAGAGAAAAAGGAAGAAATTATATTTCAAAGAAAGTACAATAAAAGCACCTGCGAAATCCCTGAGAAGGAATAAGGATGATATCTGAAGACCATAAATGACACTCGGAAGTAAAAAAAAGCAAGTCAATTGGATTCTACGCGAACTCGTTTTGAACTCAAACGTTGAATCGTACGTGCGTATAATTACATAAATTGTATAATTCTATACGTTCTTTACACATTATTCGTAAATCGTTTACTAATTTTTTTTTTTGTATCAATAAAAGTTAAAACATTGATAGACAAAGAGAATGACAATAATGAGAAGTAGCAATAGCTTAAGCTTAACAAATATAAACTGTGCAATCAAAAATCTATCCTGGAATCTATATTGGCTGTAGATCCGAAAATTTGGTGATTTTTCATTTTTTCACTCATAGGAAAAAATCTTTTTGTTTATCTTATTTCAGTGTTCATCTTAAAAGGATTTATGCATTCATGTCTAAATGAAATGCTTAATAACTAATGGACATGTGTGGTAAGCAGGTTTATATAGTTTGAATTTCAATTGTGTGGTACTACAGGTTGCTTATTATATTCATTTTTTACCTGATTTAGGTCAAATTTTTCCATTTTTTTTTTTTTACCAGATTTTAGGCCAAAGATCCACTTAGTATGAAATAGATACGAGATCACAATATTTATACGATTACTTTATGCTACCTCCAGCAAATTATAAAAAAGGAAAAGATGATCAAAATTTTTTTTTCATATCACGGCGTTCAACGTGTGTTGAACATAGAGAGGATCTTCGAATATTCGAGTCTTCGGACGACGATGTCAACAGAATCATTGATTTAAAAATTAGTTGGAACCGCAACGATTCATCCATTCATAGATGCAATCTTGATTGCACAATTTGCTTTGTAAGCCGAAAAAATTGTAGACTCGGAACTTTATAAAAAAAGTTGTAAATTTAGAACTTTGTATAGTTTTCTCATACGTACACTACGATCGTCCGTAGGCTCGTAATTTTCTATGCACGAGCATTCATTCGGGGCGGTGCAACGTGCGTGCTCCGCTTCGCAGTCCTGGTCGCAGACAGGTTTGCAGATTCCGTTTTCGTTCATTTTGTATCCCGTGTTGCATTCGCACACGTTCGGTTTCACGCACTTTCCGTTATGGCACTCGTCACAAACAGGTTCACAAGCGTAATAATTAATTGGCCTGTAGCCGTCGTAGCAGTCACAAATGTGATCTCTTCCATAAAAAACGTTCTCCACGCAATAGGCATCCTCGCATTCAGGTATGCAGACAGGCACGCAAGTGTCGTTCTTCATTTCATAAGAAGAACAGCATTCTCGTTCGTTGCGATAGGCGGTGTAATACTAAAAGAAACAAAATCATTAGCCGTACGCGTTCGATTGCAGTCAGTTTTCAATTCAAAAATGACTTTTACTCAAATTAAAATTTCTTATGCACTTGTGGGAGAATTTAAAGCTAGGAAATTATAGGATCTAAATAATATTATAGGATCTAAAAATGTTTAAAAATAATTATTTTATATATTTAATTTAAAATTAATTTAAAAATGTTATGAGAAGATACGGGTTTTGTTTAAGTTAGATAAACTTTAATATCTTATTGTTAGAGATTTTAGAAACCTGTTGCACTTATTACTACATAAACCTACATAAACCTATTGAAAGAACGAGAAAGTAGTGATATCCCAATTCAATAATGATTTTCTAGAAATAATCTGTTTTCAAATGTAGATCACTCAAGTATTGTTCATAATCGAATTTGGCAAATTGCAAGTAATAATAACATAGTAGATAAATATAGGATGGGCCAAAAATCACTTCCTACTAAAATGAATTTGTCATTTTCTTATTATATTTGGCGGTCAACGTTCGAAGGAAATAATTTTTAAAAACATAATGAAAAAATCATGTCTGACCTTTAATTTAATTTAAAATTAATAAAATTAGTTTTTCTTATATTTTGATGTTTTATTTAAAAAGATAGGAAAGAAATCTTTGGCCCGCCCTGTAGTAGTAGATAAATCTAATCTCTGTTTCGTGCATAAAAATATAAATTTACAGAAAAATACAGCGTGTCATAAAAAAAGTGAATAATTTTTAAATAAAATAAGATAAATATATAAATTTTTTATAGTTTACTTACTAGGTTTTTAATCATGCATGAAATATGATATCAACCAAATGTGTGCCCCTTTATGACATTTTCACGTATTTCTTATGTTATTTCTTGAATTTTCTTACGAATATTTTCTTCAGCTGCTTAATCGTGAACATTTTTCTTTAAGTATAGTACAATCTCATACAAGTACAAATCTCGTTTATATGAGCCGAGTCTCAGACATACGAACTCATAATTATTCAACTTTTATTATTTTCACCCATTATTATTCAAACAAGACTAACGAAGAAAGTTTTATTATCCAAAACGGATAATTTGTCTTCTTTTGTATTCGGATGAACAAGATTTTATTGTTGAAAACAGTCGTCAGAGGCGTCATCAAATCAGGGGAGGGGGGGAATTTCTAAATTTTTAAAACAGTAACACGTTGTCGAGATGATAAGCGTCGTGATGATAAAAGTTACACGGTTAACAGACAACTGATGAAAATTGTATGGAAACTAAATGACAAAAAGATGTTGCTTCTTTCGTGACACGTTGTATCAGTGATCGACAAATTTCTCGAATTTTGGGAATTTTTCGGGAATTAGGGAAGTCGAGCGGTTTACCTCCTTTCTGTAATTCCATCGGAATTTCGTTTCGTAGAAGATCCCCCATTTTCTGACTCGATAGGTCTCCCTGTACGGGGTGAGCCGCGTCTTTCTGTAACTGAGAAGGAATTTGTACGAAGATTGAATCGATCCCTGCGATTTGTAACTTTTGGTAACAATACGCGAACATACCTGACTAGTTTGTTGCAATCCCCGTAGGTGGAGGCCAGCATTGTTGGCACGATTCCGATTAGTTGAGGGAAAACAACGAAAAATACAATGTAAAAAGGTGTCATGTTTGGGATCTGTCTCGGAGCGGTCTGCAGTGTATCAATGGATGAACGATACTGACGCGACAATTCTCTGGAGCGTATCAAATGGAACAGGATGCGTCGGAAGCGATATCGTTTCCCGACGAATAATTAGGAATTATGGAAAATACACGTCACACGCGCCGTTGTTTCCGTGTACATCCTCTTTATTTACGAAATAGTCGTACAAAGATTACAGAATACTCTACAGAAATCGAAGACACTTGGTGCCAAAGCACATCGGCGAGTCGCCGCTTCAAATCAATTGTGATGCACACGCATACGGTAATTCGCAATCATACTATTAGAATTAGAATTAATGTGCGTAGTAATCCCCGTTAAAAATAAGGCCAATGTTTTCGACTCATCACGCTGTTATCGAGGAAAGATTGTTTCTTCTGAATCCGCTTCGAAGATGCGAGTGAAACGAAATAGAAAGAACGGAGGATTCGAGTGCTATCATTTTTGTCGAGAAAACCTTCGAACATATCCGCCATATATAAATGAAAAAAACAAATTCAAAAATTTTAGTTCGCCGATTGAAGACACGCCTATTAGTCAAGCACCTATGAACTACACGTAGTTTACTCGTTCTCGGATATATCTACGATAAGACGGTACGCAACGAAGAAGAAAACCGAGAGAGAGAGAGAGAGAGAGAGAGAGAGAGAGAGAAAGAAGAAAACAGATACTAATTGTTAAACTGGAATGCATCTCTGCTGTCTGCCCTTGACGCCAGGCTCTTTCCTGTAACCAGGATTGCAGATGCAGAGGTTTGGCGCCGTGCAGACGCCGTTATGGCATCCGCCTATGCATACCGGCACGCATTTAGTTCGAGTCACGTCGGAGGGGCTTATAGTGTAGCCACGTTTGCACGTGCACTGATTCAGGCCGGTGCAGTCTCCGTTGAGACACGGCAGCTCGCAAAGAGGCTCCCCTATTTGAGTTCCCCTTTGAGGGATGCATCTGCCGGTATCGGGATCGATCGCGAAACCATAGTTGCAGAGGCAACGATTCGGGCTTACGCAGCTGCCGTTTGGTCCACAGTCTGGCTGGCACTGTGACTGTTGACCGGTTTGCTGATTCGATTGTCGATTAGACTCGGGGCAGCTTCCAGTGACAGGATCGACAGCCATTCCGTAGTTGCAGATGCACATGTCAGGGCCGACGCAGAGGCCGTTCGCGCCGCAACCGTTTCTGCACTCGAATGAATTGGAGAACGGGACGCATCTTCTGGTGTCTGGGTCCAGGCGGAAGCCCAGATTGCACGTGCATTTGTTGATACCGACGCATCGGGCGTTTGGACCGCAATCGACTTGACAGTCGGTGAGCTTCGACTCGGGTTGCAGCATGTTGACGCATCTACCATTGGAGTCGCGGGTGTAGCCAGTGTTGCAATTGCAAACCCCTGGAGCGACGCATACCCCGTTGGCGCAGTCTTGTGGACAATCCGGGACGCACGCGTCGTTGTCACCTGGAACGTAGCCCCGATTGCAGTCGCAGACTCCGGGTGCCACGCATTCGCCGTTGAGGCAACCTAGGGGACACTCCGGGACACATTTGCTCGCGGAGTCGAGGGTGAAGCCTGGTTGGCATTTACAGGTATTGGGCGCGATGCATTCTCCGTTGGTGCAGCCTTGAGGACACTCCGGGATGCACCTGTTCGCGTCGAGGATGAAGCCTGGTCTGCACTTGCAGACTCCAGGTGCCACGCATTCGCCGTTCGAGCAACCGGATGGGCAGCTAGGCACGCAGGACTCGCTGTCACCCGACGGATTAACAAACCTACAAAGGAACAACGTGTCTGTTCACTCTCTGTCTTCGATAAGCAATTTTCGGATAAAGTAACAAAAATAAAGAAATAATAACAATGCGAAGTGTATCCACGATATAAATGAAGATCAGACAGAAGAATGGAACTTACCCTTCGTGACAAGTGCACACTCCGGGAGCAGTGCATTCGCCGTTGCGACAGCCATTTTCGCACACGGGCACGCACTCTTTCGGCTCGATGCCGGTAGAGCTATCCGGCGAAGGTTGAATCACGTATCCTGGCCTGCATCTGCATGTCCGAGGTGCCACGCACTCGCCGTTCTTACAGCCACCGGGGCAGATTGGTTTACACTCGCCGTTTTCTTCTTCGTAACCTAGTTTACAAGTGCACACGTTCGGCGAGAAGCAATAAGCGTCCTTTTGGCACGGTTGCTCGCAGTATGGCATACAGATGCCCTTCTGAGGCACCCAGCCTGGCGAACAGGTGCATACATTTGGCCCCGTGCAATTTCCACCCAAGCATCCCTCGTCGCAGCGAGGATCGCAGCCATTGGAATTGAGATTACGCTCGTAGCCGTCGCAGCAATCCAAAATCGTGATCCATCCGCCTTTCTAATGGCCGAAAAGGGGAAACGTGTGTATATACTGTATCGAAAGGATGTGAATACTTGTTGCAGATTTTTATTTCGAATTTTTGAATCAGTAAGCCAGATTAATAATCTTCCAATTAAGAATCATGGAAGAGGGAAGGCGCATGTAGCGATCGACGAAAGTATTTGAATACTTGTACTTTTTGACTTGAATCCTTGAATTATACATCAAATTAATAATTTTTTAATTAAATACAGCGACTGATGAAAATATTTAAACGCTTATCATAGAAGATTTTTATTTAAATTTTTGAATTATAGGGCAAATTAAGAGTTAAATAAGTTCCAGTTGAATAAGATTTTCAAAGTTGATGTTTATGCAATATAAGATAGTGAAATATAATATTTCTATGCTCCTCGATATATTTCATAAATAATGTTATTTCTAATTTGTTAATTTACTATAAATCGGCAAGTATCAAAATTACAGATACATAAAGTACGGTGTAAATAAAATTTGACGTGGAAAATTCGAAAACTATCGGAATAGGTTCAACAACTTTTATCGTGCAATGCTGTTTAGGATCAGAAATTATAATATAATGGAGCAACCTTGAAAGTTAAGCTTATCTCGTGGAAGATACTTGAACGCTGCGTCTCTCTAACTATATTCGTGTCCTTGTGTAAAATCATGTCTACGATAAAGTATACAATGGTTATAATTTTGCATGCAACATTCTACGTTATAAAATATAGGATTTCGATTTTTTTCAATTTCAACTAATCGAGAAATGACCATTTACTTTTTGGTATTCCAACCTTGGTCTTTTCAAATCGCAAATTTATTTAAAAATTAGTACTTCTACAAAATTATTTTCCTTTTGTGCTAACAATCACAAATAATTTTTAAATAATTAAAAATTCTTTTCTTTGAGTAATTTTTTCGTCACTACAATGGCAAATTAAAAATGATAATTTGAACAATATGCAACGTGTATCGTAAGCATATCTAGAATATTAATATTACTGGAATCATAAGATAAAAGTGTTTCAAAAGAACTAGTGTTTCACTAGAACTATCGGCGATTAAAACGTACAATTTCCATCAGTGATATTAAAGAAAAAAAAAAAAAAAAAAAAAAAAAAAGAAAACTTTACAATACAATAAAGTACACAAACGTTTATTTATACATTTTATATACGAAAAATCATTTAAATCTCTAAAAATGCATTGTTTTACATCTGTAAAATATCCAAGAAAAATTATAAATTGGTCATTCTGACCATTTATAAATTGGCCATTCAGAGCATTTACATATCGGTCAATATTTCTTTTAATCACTGTACGTGTTTAATCCATGTATTTACCGTGTCTTCCTGAGGTGTCGAGGGGAGCGTGTTGTGAGGGAATTGACCCGTGGCGTTCAACTGCAACGCATCCGCGTAACTGAAAAGGAAGAGAGAAAGACAACGAATTTGGTGAGCGTATGGACGATAATAAAACCAGCGTTCAAAGGTCGCCGTATCGTTTGCGTATTTGCGACTCGCATCGTCGCGTCGTTGCTCATTTTATTTTCATTGTCGAGAATTTTCTCATTTTTTTTTTTTTTTTTTTTTTTTTCACTCACCGTATCCTCTTGTAGCAGAGTCCAGCCTGCACGGTGCTGTTCAAGGCGAGGTTCGATCGATCGTGGTGAACGCGACGGCCCTTGACACCATCGATCGCCAAGGTGTCCGGCACCAGCAAATACGCCCAAATCAACGAACAGACGAACAATGTTTTGTACATGTTGAATCCGCGAGCACCAATGGATTACTGGTTTCTTATTTTCCCGGCGCGCAGGATTACATCTCTTCTGATAACATTCTGGGGTCACCACGGCGTCTCTTTTTCGATTACGTAGCTGTTCGTAGAAGTGTTTATGAACCGCGACCAGCATTCAGCGAATTTTACGCTCTCCCCCATCTCTCCTCCATCTCCCGTCTCTCCCACTCGTCGGTCGAGATTCTTTTTTTAAAAATCATCGAAGACAGTGGAAGACACGCTACGTTATTAACACAAGCGTGATCTTAGACATCGAGAGGTGAGCGAAGAAGAAGGTACAAGTTGCATTTTTCAATTTAACTTTACGCTGGATATACGTATATTACGTCAGCAGTTGCTGTAGGTCAGTTTAGATTTTTCTTGGGTGTTTCACTCGCATCTCTCTCTCTCTCTCTCTCTGTTTCTCACTCTGAGCAAGAGAAAATGCACAATAGAATTATGATTGTATTTAATCTTTCTACGGACCAAGAGTCAGTGGAGAGATACCCGAGTGAAACAGAGAGAAGGTTCGCAAAGTTGATTCATTGATTCATTGACGTAGCAATCAGTGTATATTTCTAAGACAAAATTAGCTTATAGCTAGAAAGAAACAAGCGACACTTTTTTTTGTATTGCTGAGCATAAATTTTCTTCATCTGCGTCGACATTTCTATAGAGTCTCATCTTCTAAATATCGGATACTTTTTTTTTTTTCTTCAACAGTTTGCACATCGTTTCGATATCATAATTGTTTCCTCTTGTTTTTTTTTTTTTTTTTATTGCATTTAGATAACATTTCCGGACTTCGATTACGAAGTCACTTATAAAAACTATTCGTTTCCTCGAATCGTCATTATTGAGCTCAACTTGAGCAATGTGAAAAAAAAAAAGAAATCGGAAACGCGAAAAGTCGTTGAACCAGATTCGTCTAATATTTTTGTAAATCTTCGATTTAAATCGAATCGTTAAAAATGATCGAGTATCGAAGTGTAAATCAATGCTATTGGCATAGTGGCAAACTGTTTAAATATCCTTATGATTTGTGTATATTGTCAAATTTGCTTTTCAAAATCTCATTGCAATGTTAAAAATGATACTTCAGAACATTTCCTACGGGGTGTAATACATTCACAAGAAAAAAAAAAAAAAAAATCATCTATATGTGTTCGATTATGAACAATGGAAATATTCGGCACGCCTGTTGCCAGTTTATGTAATCCATCGATACCGTTGTTTCACACAGGATGCAATGCAGTGCACAAACGAGATAAAACAAGCGAACGGGAGGCGCGGTGACGTCCTATTTTTAAATACGTGATAAACCGGACGTTTCAACTCGTTACGCGATAACATGCGAACGATTCACCGTAAATCGAGCAGAAACAAAAAATGATAATTCTGTAAAAGAAGGAGTGTTACATCGTCGACTTCAACTTCATGACTAAAAAAATGATAACTGAATGAAATATACTATCGTTGTCGAAACCTTCAGTCCATAGAACAGTATAGTGATTATATTGTAATCTATTGAATTCTTCCATTAACTGAAGATTCTCACAGTAAAAGAATTTCCACACTACAAGTTGTCTTTAACGAGGAAACACTTGTACAAAAGTTTTCTAATATGTAACACACATTTAGCAAAATTTCGATATTCGATGGTAAATTTTTTTAATAACATCAAGGTTTCTCTTCTACGTAGTTATCACAAAGATTTTCGAAGAATTTAACGAGAAGTGGACCAGATTACGACGAATGCAACGATGACGGGAATTCGTCGGCTTATCGTGGCAAAGCTGATGGATCGAACGCGCTGATATAAATATGATTATGCAAGCACTATCCTAATTACGACTTATCTGTTTCGTTTTCTCTTTTCTTCTTCACCAAACATCACTACGACGTTGAACGCATGACACAAATTTGTAACTAATCTATTATTATCGCTGATGTCAAGTCAATACGATGAAGATCATATGTAATGTGTAGCAAAGTGCTCTTAAATGTAAAATTTAGATCATGCTTGAATCGCTGCTTGATTCTCAAACTTGAGATCTTTGAGTTTATCTTTGACGCTGCGATGATTGGATTAGCATATTCTACACATGCTGTATATCTTTGTGAATAATGTGAATAATTGTATCACTGTGACGTCACTGGTCTTCACAGGTCTTTAAAAAATATATATCTTTGTAATTAACCTATCGACAATTTCCATTCTTAATAATTATCTATACACGCTATTCTAGGGAAACGCAGTTTAAATTCCTTCATACATTCTTAACGCACTAATTGGATCAATTATGACAGCAGATATTTCATTACTTCCTAAGCTACATTTACGCGTCATTATTCTATTAAATATCTCCTACTGATAATATTATTGAATTAACAAGTATGGAAACTATTACACAAACAATTTTTCATCATTCTACTTGTAAATCATTTTCTTTTTTATTATTGTTGAGCCTGTTCTCGATGCATACGAGAAATGATTAATATCGGTAACTGGTAACTCTCGCGGAATATCCTCTAATAATACAGCGTGTCGCGAACATGTTTTATACTCTCTTATACCGATTCTACGATTTTCGTTTAAAAAATTTATTTAACCCAAAGCCAAAAATTTCATTCGTAAAATTGATCTTCGAAGCAAAATTTCACTCTCTTCCTGTGCGAATGAAACCTTTCAAAAAACTGAAACTTAAAAAGAGACTTAAATTCTACGTGAACACAAACGACTTGGTTTTTTTTTTGCATGATGGACAATGTGCTTTCTTTCCTGTGGAAAGTAAAAAAAGTGGATTGATAAAACTTCTTTCGAGACACACTGTATTGGTTCGAATTGTGCCGATGCGCAGCGTTGGTTGACGTAAACGCGTTCAGAGGGCTCGATGGCCGCCGATTGACGTGAACGGTTTCCGAGGAAAGAAAAGTCTCCTTGTCACGCCCTGGATAGTTTGATCGGAGCTGCGAAACGTTTTTCTACCTGGCCGAGGACCGATTGCAGTCACGTCCAGCCTTGAACACTTAGACGAGACCTGCGTAAGGTCGACAACCAGTTCAGTTGGATTTTTCCTCGTCCCGTAGACGAGCTGGCTGGCTCACATCCGCCTTCGGAATTGCGGCTCGAGCGTGACTCTTGAACAATAGGCGCATAAACATCCCTGACACTTTTATCTTCACTTTC